AGCCCCTCAAGCTCCCTATTAGGTTCATATAGTGTTTTAATATTAACTGCCGTAATGTAATTGTAAATAGTGTACAATATAGTTATTATTTCGAAGTTCTTTAATTTCGTCTTAACCCCGTTTAGTTTAAAATAGCAATTATCATCAATTAAGTTATTAGTCAGACAGAAGTCACAGTAGCTTTCTTCATAGTAGTTCAGTTTCTCCCTTATAATAAAACATAAATACGGACTGTATTTATGTTTTACTTAGCTCTCATCCCCTACATTTCTTTGGTCCATCGTTGCCGGATTTAAGAAGCATCATTGAAGAAGATCATCGGTCAATATAATCCGAGAAGAAAGAAGATAAAATCTTTCCCTGTTTCTCAGTCACCGTCAACTGTCAACGTGGTTAGTCGTTTTAACGACTATCCGTTCTGTTTCTTACCGCGTTTACGCGGCCAGCCGATACCACCTAACGGTGCCAAACGGTGTTCGTCTGGTAACGCCCCTTGTGGCGCGAACGGCAACCCGTATGCGTCTTTTTGAAGACGATCTGAAGCTGCAACGTGGGATCATGCGTGAAACAAGAAGCAGTCAGAAAGCCAGGCATGACAACGATGCTTCGGTAGGAGTACGCGTCTTCGAGGAAGCCCCCGCGTCTCCGCTCGATTATCTGTCGACATCCGCGCCCTCCGTCGCGCACGCGCCGACGCCAGCAACTATGCCCGCGCCCGCGCCAGTGTCCGTCGCCGTGACGCTGCGCCCCGCTATGTCCGTGTCGACAACCGAAAGATTAGAAAGCAGTAAAACCGCGCCGCGTACCAATACACTCGTCACGATAATAGAACATCTTCCGGCAACAGAGTCTAGTATGACGATGCAACCCGCCGCGCCCGTAGCAATCGACGCTGTTCATAGGCCCGCACCGCGCGCCCCGTCAGTTCGTTCAGCCCGGTCGACAGCCGGAACGCGGACCACGTGCCCAGACGACAGACAGAATAACGCAGCAGAAGAGAACGAGAGCATGGTGAGATGTAGGCCGGCCACCGCGAAGCAAACACAGGACCTGCCTATTTTGAACGGTGCACCCGCGGAATGGTTAGCATTTAAAGCCGCGATGAAAGAATCCACTAGGCTGTACGGATTTACTAATATGTAAAATATGGCACGGTTAAGAAATTGTTTACGTGGTGAAGCTAGGGAAGCCGTCTCTGCGTTATTATTTACCGGGGTCCCCCAGCCGATATAATGCGTAGGTTAGAACCACAGAAATCTAAATAATAAGGCAATAGAAGTCGTAAAAGCACGTGACCTTGTCGCCGCACATGTGACTCGTAGGCCACAAGCGCGCGAAAAGCGTTTGTTTCGGTCACCAGTTTTGTTTCGGACGCAGACGTAAAAATGATATTTTGAAGCATATTCAACTGCGGAAATTCTTCCACAACTCGCAAATTTTCTAATAAAGGGATAAAATTTCTTATGTAAGTACTTTGTGTTTTAAATAATGTTTTTTTTTTATTAAATATACTTAAATAAAACCTCCTCCTCATAACACCTCATAATCCTCATAACACCTCCAGTACTACGATTGTCTCCGAAAATGTAATTGTTTTCACATTTCAAAATCCATTGATTCTTAAGCTAGTTAATATCTACGAGTACGACAGCTAAAAGCAACGATGGTTTTATAGTATGGGCAATAAACAAAATTGTTGCGTACGTAAATTTCCTAGAACACGGCCGCAGGAGTCGAACGCGAGTCAGTTACGTGACACCAGTACTATTTATATCGACAATTTATTACGTTTGTCTTATCTAATTTTACCGAAATAGGAATGAAATGTGCTTTTTCGTTAAATATTTATTTTACACCTTCTCTATTTTTTGTTCTTTCTAAATATTTTATACCGTTAGCCGTTTATCAGCGATTATCTGTTTGTTCGTACTTTTAAATTAATTGATAATTTTTTATGCAAGTTTAATATATTGTAAGGATAAGTAATTATATTGTAAGGGTAGTAAACTAAATTCGATCTGTAAGAAGCCGGGTAACTGAAAAATAACAAACAACAGAAAGTCGGTTACAGATCTTTAAAACTAATAAAAATGATAAATATGTCACCCATACATATGTATATAATTTATTTATTTGCTGTTTGTTTAATGTTGTATTCGTTTTATTTATACATCTGTTTATTTAATAAAATCCTATTATTCATGGTTTCCAAAAGATCCGGCTATTAAAGATAAATGGATATACTTATCCTTAACGTTTTATTGTATCCCCTTTTCTCTAATTATAAAGCGTCCAAAAGCTAAAGCTAAGACTAAAAGCGTCTATTACTGAGACATTTTCATTTAATTATTTATATCTTGGTGTGAGACTCCTGGACGATCAACGACACTTAATATTTAGAAAGGTATCGAAACCTGCGTTGCGCTGCTCTATGCCCAAGTGAGAGCACACGTTAATTATTGGACCGAGTGGCTCAGCCTCCTGAAATTTTGGGTATTTATAAAATATTCCTTAACGAAATAGTTTATAGTTTAATCTTCGTTGCAAGTTGTTGCTAGAGACATATGTAGGCGTAATTGTGTATTTATTGTTTGTCTATGTGTGATAGCTGCGAACCGGCGACACGCGTCCAATACAGTAGAAGGCATTTTTATTGCCTTATTATTTTGATTTCTGTGGTTAGAACAATGTTTTAGCTGCCCGGAAGTAATTATTGATCAAGCGGTAGGGGACTTACGACGTCTTTCGCGCCCGGGTCAAACCGCTCAGGAATTAAATGCGTTCGCGCTCAAATTACAGAACATAGTCTGTATAATAAAAAACGTAGACGGCGAAGGATATTTACAAAATCCTATGTTGATAAGGGTAACGAATAAGTTAAGCCCTCACCTACGGTCACGATGGTGCGACTATGCGGAGTACTACGGTAGTGCTGACGAACCGGACATCGTCACACTGTCCAGGTTTATGATGAGAGAAGCTGACCGAGCTTTAAGTCACGCTTATACGTCCGTCACGTCGGTTAGGGAGGTGCCCGCAAGAAAAGAGACGCCGCCGTCGAGAAAAATAGTAGTAACACGCCGCGCGAGAGGATAGGCCCCGCGACGTGAAGTCGTTCACCGCTCGTGCAAACAGTGACAGTGAAAGTGATAAAAAGTGTCTGTGTTGTGGTGGTAAACGTGTATAAACGTGTAAACGTGTTATAGTGAAGTGCAAAAAGTTAGGGCAGATGAATAGTAATAACCGGTGGAAATGTGTGAAGGAAGAGGGAGTGTGTTTCAAGTGTTTAAGTAGTAAGCATCGGCGTCTTAAATGCAAATATAAGACATGCGGCGTCGATGGCTGCACCGCCCCTCATCACGCGTTGCTTCACGTGAAGAAGACCCAAGCCCCGGTAGCATCTGCCGCGCCAGTTAAAACGCGCGTCTAATACGGCTAATGATAAAACAGTGTTGTTAAAAGTGTGTCCTATAATAATGCGCGGACCGCAAGGTAAAGAGATAGAAACCTACGCGCTCCTCGACAAAGGGTCCACGGTAAAGCTAATTAAAAATAATAAATTTTAAAAATAAAAAATAATATTCGTTGATAATGAGTTAGCTTGTGAGATAGATACGTTGTGTGTGTGTGTGTGCGTGCGTGCTTGCGTGCGTGCATGCGTGCGTGCGTGCGTGCGTGTGCGTGTAAACGTGCGTGTAAACGTGCGTGTAAACGTGCGTGCGTGCGTGCGTGCGTGCGTGCGTGCGTGCTTGCCTGCCTGCGTGCGTGCGTGCGTGCGTGCGAGCGTGCGTGCGTGCGTGCGTGCGTGTGTACGTGCGTGCGTGCGTCTGCGGGTGAGTGAAACTTTGTTTTTAACATAACTTCGAGATTTCGCAACATAATTTGGTGAAATTTGGAGCGTTTTATATTTGAAGTTAACGCGAAGTTCCAGGAATGGCCTGCAGGGTCAACTAATTTTATAGTATTGTATCAATGTAGATTACACAATAAGTAATTACACAATAAGCATTACGAGTAAGTGGTTGATTGAAACGTGATATTCTAATATTTAAGCGAATGTTACACGTCGAAATTCTACTATTTTAACGGATATATAAATCATAGCTAATCTTTCTTAGATGTTTTAGCCATCCGAAATCCTGATAGCACTATTGGTCACACTGTGTGTAGGAAAAAGACCCATATCAACCAATATTTAATTAGTAAATCTTACCATCATCCTTCACAGTTAGTTACGGTAGGTAAATCTTTGTTTCAGAGAGCACAAGGGATCTGTGACAGAAAAAATCTGGATGCCGAGCTTCAGCACGTCAAGCAAGTGTTGCAAGACAACAAGCTTCAGGTCCAGCGCCTACCTCAAAGTGACCGAGTGAAACCGGATGGCTAACGTCGACTAAGGTTGGCTACATCTTGAAGCGAGCTTCCATTAAAACATACTACAAGCCGCCGAAGAAGACTAGTCAATTTTTACCATCCATCAAGTGTTATATTCCTCTACAAGATGCAGGAGTGTACAAGCTAGATTGTGAATGTGGTCTATCGTATAATATACACCTTTGTTCACAGAGACAGATACTGTAATGCTTTTCTATTATCTGTCAAGATGACATTTCTTTAAAACACAACTACTCACATACAAACATAAAGCTGCGCTCACTGGCTCAAATGAGACGTCGTTTTTTTGCTGCTTGATCAACTACGCCTCGTCCACACCCATTCTCCCCCTAGACTTCGTCTCGACTTTGCAGTTATCTTTCCTCACTAACATTTTGTGCTACTAATGTGTGATAGATAAGATTTCTATATTTCATTTTCTTGAGTATGAAGGTATAAAAATTAAACTAGAAGATAAAACATAATTTATTTATTGTGCCTTAATTTACAAGTCTTAAAGAATATGTACTCCGACATACGTAGAAGTAGTGTTTAACGTGCTGTGTGTTTGTGCATTTAGCAATGAAACGCGACTCCCCGACCAGCGGAACCAAGTTCGATTCCGATTACTTCTTCATGCTGTTGACGAGGGCTTTGAAGGCTTCCAGACCCTTCTCGTTAGCCTCCTGGTAGCCTGGTGCTGTGGTCTTTACGGTTTCGTACCATCTGAAAAAAAAAACATTAACACAAGTGAGTAAAGCATGTGCGTGGTTGAGCCAGAACGAATGGGTCGACTCGATCGATGAAGGGCCACGCTCTCACAGAATAGCAACATAAATTTATATGGTGAGTGTAGAGAACTGAAGTAAATTTTTACTGGAAACAAGGCATTTCATAGTCCTCAGGGGTGACAACACATATGTATTTTGTTTCTTAAGCGATGATGGATGTTAGTGTCTATGAGGAACAGGATCCACATACCATCAAATGGACCTTGAGGTCTTTTGTCACCCACATTCTACAAAAAGTCAATTTATGCTTGCATGATGCTTTTATAATCAAGATTTACCACAGATTTAAACATCATGAACTTTTCAGAAAAGAATGGAAGCAAGCTCTGTATTCATATAAATAAATTGATTCATTTATTAATTTCTTAACGTAAAGTTACAGCCTAAATATGTCCTAAGTGGACAAAAGCTTCCTCTCATTTTGAGTGCGTTATGATGCAGTTAGTTCGCGCTGCTCCAGTGCTTGTTGGCGTACCTACGACACCATAGACAAGGTAATATAATCGGGAGTACGACACATATCAAGCCGTACCTTTGTAAACAATTATACAACCTATATTCTTCTTATTCTTTACTTTATGGCTTCTCTTAAAAAAATTCTGCCAATGTCAAGTCAGTTTCGACCTATTTTATATTTCATAAACAGATAAAAACACCTTACCTCTTAACATTGGGGAACTTCTTGAAGTCAATATCAGAGGCTTCGAAGCTGGACACGCTGGCGATCAAACTGAGGTCGGCAACGGTGAGGCCGGGTCCAGCCACGTACTTCTGCCCCTCGAGGAATGTGTCCAGAATTTTGAGAGCATCCTCCACCTTCGCGAGCTTGTCCTTATCAGCTGGCGCTCCGGCAAACACTTGTGGGTACTGAAAGATGAGATTATTGTGATGGATATATATGTCCTGTGGTGGCGGTATAAAATGATTCATCACTCCGTCTCATCCCGGGGGATTTGTAAGAGAAATGGTGTCTTAATACTCCGTTTTTGTCTAGGAGTCCATACCACCCTTTTAACTATATCTATAACCTACTGCCGCTTGGTCTGTGGTATGCTTGCATTGCTATAGTACGGTATAGAAAACCCATATAATTACAGATTGAAAGACATTCCATCTTAGTCTTAGGTGACAACACACTACCTTCTTTGTTTGAAGATAGTTACAGGTGTTCATGGATTGCTTATTTTAAATAGAAACAGAAACTTTTTTATTCCATATAGAATATACGTGGTAGAGGCACCCTGCAGCTATATTATGGTTGCAGCACGAATGGGTCGGCTCGGCCGGGGTGGGACCACGCTCTAACAGAATACCAGCGTTAAATAGCAGCTTAATACTGCTGTGTTGCGTACGGTGAGTGTAGAGATCCGGAGACGCTTTTTTAATGGAAACGAGGCATTTCATCTTAGTCCTCAGGAATTACAACGCATCTGTCTTTTGATTCATAAGCGAGAATAAATGTAGATGTCTATGGGCCACAGCATCCACTTACCATCAAGTATACTGTGCTCGTTTGTCACCCTCATTCTATTTAAAAAAAAACTTATTGCAAGCCACTCTTATGCTAAACCACTAGTTCGAAAATATTTTGACAAACAGTTTACAGTCTTTTAAGTTACACAATTAACAGCACAAAACAAATAAGAAGTAACTTGGTAACGATCATCTAATTCCCTGAGTTATTATTATCCATAAACAACTTAACATTTTATTTTAATAATCTTTATATACAAACGTTTTTGAACTTAGAAAAGGTCAAATGTTGTATATTTTCTTTGTAAAAGCCTTTGAAAGAAATATCGCGAGTAGGAAAGTCACCTGTTGTGGACACTAGGTCACCGCCGCCAAGCAACTTCTATATTTTTTCTACTGTATATTTTTATGTTAACCTACTACTTGACTTCGAGAAGGATTCCTACATACACCTGGGCTAATTAAATAGATATGTTATGAAGTTGTATCAATTGCGATTGATTTCGGATCTTTGGGTCAATGTATCTCAGTATCACTAGGCTAATAGTTGTAGTTATTTTAATCAGTAAATCGTGGTTATTTTAGTTATCCTCAACTCATTAATAAAAGTAATTTATTAACTGAAATACCTTTTAAGACCACAATCAAACTGCTTGATAATCAATGAGGTGTAATCGAACAATTTTTATTTGACCTTGAATGCCTTTCATTTAACCTTCTCACACAAGTTTGTTACTGTTGTGATTACGTAATGCGTATTGTTAAAGTGTGTACAGTCTATCCGTTATAGCGTGCACAAGTTTAGTGCTAAACATAGTCCTTTACTATAGATTGCAAATTAGGTGGGGTTTTGCTATAGTTAGCAAAATTTGCTAGAGTTTGAGTTGTAATCAGGAAGACCCCAGCCAGTATGGTGGTAACATTAAACCAATAAATATATATATATATATATATTATATAAAAAAAAAAAAAAAATATAATAAAATTGGTTTAATATTATATATATATATATATATACGTGGCCTACGTCCAAATAATTAAACTATACTCAATTTAAGACGCCGTTGAGTCTCGTTTTGTCACAGCCACTCTGACTTTAAGTGATAGAGACGGTACGAGACTTAACGGCGTCTTAAAATTTAGTAATTTGGGCATTACAAAATTTAAAAAAAAAACTATATTCCGATAACTTATATAAGCGCTAACGCAGGATATAGTTTAGGATGCAAAGTCAGACACGAGAACAGTGGCAGTACCATAATCGACCTGCAAGTCCACAGCCGTGCTTGAACCTCTCCCGTTGTTGGAAAGGAAGATGAACTTGTCTTCACAGTAACTCTTGGCAGATAAATTGACGATCGCAGTACATTGAGCACCTTGGACTCCACTGCCCGTCATTGGTCACAAGGTTAACAAGATGGTGATATCGCCATCTGTCGGTTTGAGATATCCCACAGTCGCCTGTTACGACACCCAAGGGACGAGAATAAGGTAATGAGTTCTCTAACTCGGCCATCACGGCAATTTAGTCACTGAAATTAAAAACGGAATTTAACAGCCCCAGATTTGATAAGAGCCGATGATCTAGGATATATAGAGGGACTATTTGGTAGACATACAGCAAAAACAACTATACCTTAGATGGAGGTGGTTTGGAGCCGTGCTTTGTGACATCACTACGTCATGTTTTGTGCCGGTCTTTGTGCTATTAGACTGGTAATAATTTAAAACAAAAACTGACACAACTGTGGATGGCGCGGGCACGTGTGCGGGCGGGTAGCTGCCACGGTAAATAATAAATATGCCACATAATTGTATTTTTATTTACTACAGTTAATGTTTTTAGGCAAATACGACTTAATTATAAGTTACATACTTATCTGAAATAAACTACAAATCACGATGAAAAAGTGCGCACATAAATGTTGACGGCGTTTTCTTTGTCACATTAAACGAAATGAGTATTAGATTGTTGAGAAGAACGTTGGCTGTTTACAAAACGAAGAACTAGTCTCCTGGCCTGCTTGCATTCGACTAAAGGAGTTACGGAGAATTGACCGTGACTTAGGAGGCAATGTATTAAGGCCGCAGAGCCCGTCAAGTAGTATAGATAGAAGTATTTGTGGGCAGGCCTATATATATATAAGATAGGACTTGTGAAAAAATTTAATTATGACAATAATCTAATGAGACACTTACGAAGTACTCGCTAAAGCGCTGGTAGAGCGTGCCGATGTCGAAGTACAGGCGCTGATCGACGAGGGCACGAGCGCGAGGCTCCTCTGGATAGAGGCCGCTGGATTTCCCGTACTTATTCACCAAGTATGTGATGATAGCGCGTGACTCGCTCAGCGCCAGACCATCGTCCACCAGCGTGGGTACCGTGTGTTGAGGGTTAATCTGAAATATGAATGTGTTGCTTTAGATAACATTATGTGTAGGATGTGTCTAACATTCAGCACTCAAAGAAAACGTCCAGCTCGAAGAACCAAAAAAAGTTTTTGTGTTTACCACATTTTATAACATAAAAGATATAGACGATAAATACTATGATAATAAATAAAACTGTTCGTACAACAACCATAGTGTAGCTACAGCAAGGCTCTACCAAATATATAGCTATTTGATTGATTGTTGAGGGGCCACAGTGTTTCTAGTACAAGAATGTCTATAAACAGTATAATATAATGCACCTTCCGCTCCCCGGACAGAACACCTTGCCTGGCGGGAGATCTCACCTTTTCTTTCCATCGCCAAATTTCATTATTCATTCTTTCCAATTGTCCAAATCACAAAAGCATTTCTTTCTTAATCCTTGTCACATCATATCTTGTAGCAAATTACACTTTTCTTTTATCACACAATAACCTCACTCTACCATGCCCTAATAACCTAACATACTTCTTAATAACCTCATTTCTATAGCATTAATTTTGCTCTCGTGCTTGTTCTGTCACACCCAATTTTCATCACATGATAGGTACGGGATAGGTATATGAAAGGGCTACGAGCCTTTTTTGACACATTCTGATTTGTGACTTCCCATTTTAGTCTCAGTGTATGTTATTACTCTAATGCCCTGATGCTCATACGCTGCTTTTTTATTTTTTATAGAATAAGAATGACAAACGAGCACACAGCCCACCTGATGGTAACAGGATGCTGCGGCCCATAGACTTCTACATTTATTCTCGATTAAGAATCAAAACGCAAATGCGTTGTCACCCCTGAGGACTAAGATGGAATGCTTCATTTCCAGTAAATTAGTTTCCGGATCTCTACACTCACCATACGAAACACATCAGCATAACGCTGCTATTTTAAGCTGGTATTCCGTGAGAGCGTGGTACTACCCCGGTCGAGCCGACCCATTCGTGCCACCACAATAACATAGCTGCAGCGTGGCTCTACCACGTATAAGTTATATAATTTTAAGACGTCGTTAAGTCTCGTGCTGTCTCTATCACTCTAACGCTTAAGAACCCGGATTTTATTGCTATTATTTCGGGGAATTCCAAGTAAGACGTCATTATTGTTTACTAACTACGACTTACGGATTCTCCTTTTTGAAATTCGAGTTATAGAGTATAAATATCAGTCTATTATCAATATTTCGTAGGGAAATAACATTTTCTTCGAGTTACAAAGTCTAATACATAATTCGAGATACCGCGTATTTAGGGGTTCAGCGGAAGGGAATTGCAATTTTATTCGACTTACTGAGGATTTCAACTTAACGAGGTTCGAGTTATAGAGATTCCACTGAATATCATAACACGCATATAATTTTTTAAGTAGAGCGTATCTATCAGCAACCTAATACTACCAAGTTTTTAAGTTTATATGTGAACTATATAATAATATAACTTTTTTAAATGTTATTTATAATCTTATCTATGGTTTCGAGTAAACTTAGTGATCATATACTCTTTGGTTCTAAGGCGTCCCTCTAAATATTAGTATACTCTTTGGCGCGGTCTAACAAAGAGACATTGACGTCTCCATATGGAGATGTCGGTCAGGGTTAAGCAGTGTTGCCATATATACAGATTTCCCCGTATTTATACAGATTTTCGGTGTGTGATACAGATTAGCACTGGGTACAGATTTTTATACAGAGTTTTCTAACTCTATTGATTGGATTACCATAATATTCAACTTAAAATAGAATGAATCAAAATAAATGACTAGATACCGCGTTACACACATTCACGATTCTATTCTTTATGGTTAATTTATTTTTTCACAACGTAACTACAAGTGTATTACAAAATATGTATACAAGGTGTAAGTGTAAATACCGTTGTCACTAAAACCACAGGTAGTTGGCTTTAATATAAAAATATTTATCCGAATTTTTAAAAAAACCCATTTTCTTTCATAAAATTTAAGAGGTTTCTGTCCGAAACCGTCCGTAAATTCATGGATACCCTATGCGCCCGGGTGACGTAATCACTGTAAAGATCACCGCCCGCGCTAGCTACCTACACTATATTCCAATAAAAACACAATAGGTACACATAACCTGTTATGTAACTTTTCCTTCATTCTTTCATTCTGGCTTAGGACAGGCAAAATTGAGGAATTAAGGAAAAATTGAGATTTTACTACAAAAAAATGTTGTTATTTTTCATTGAATTTACGTTCTATAAGTAAAATCAAACCACTGTTTTCAAAGATAACGGTGTTTACACTAACGCCCTGTGTATAAAATATGTATGACTGAAAATAATAAAGTAATTATATGTTCATTTGGCAAATGTTTGAGTTTTAATATGTTGTTTGCTTAAATTAACGTTTTCAATTTTGCTATATAAAAAATAGTGTATAGTGTGTATTTTATACGTGGTAGAGCCACGTTGCAGCTATATTGTGGTTGCAGCACTGCAACCATAATAGCTGACACTCGACCGGGGAAGGACCACGCTCTCACAGAATACCAGCGTAAAATACCAGCTTAATACTGCTGTGTTTCGTATGGTGAAAGTAGAAATCCGGAGACCCTTTTTTACTGGAAATGAGGCATCCCCTCTTGGTCCTCAGGCGTGACAACGTATCTGCGTTTTAATCCTTAAGCGAGGATAAATGTAGATGTCTATGGGCCACAGCATCCACTTACTATCGGTGGACTGTGGTGTGGTGACTGTGCTCGTTTGTCACCCTTATTCTATAAAAAATATTTTTATTTAATAACGATAATCAAACCTTATCTGCTTATCACGTTAGTAGTTATTCCTTGTTTTTCAAAAAAAAAAAACGATGATGATGTTGATGATCAATTATTGTATTTTTGTTTATTAGATTATACAGATTTAATACAGATTTTAAGTTTAAATAGCATACAGATTTAATACAGATTTTAGCAGTGTCTAATACAGATAAAAGGTTCAAGACATCTGGCAACACTGGGGTTAAGTCAAAGTGACTGCGACACCAAGACACTTAACGACATCTTAAAATTGAGTATTTGGCCACAAGCGTTTTCCGTAATTTCTGTTATTATGTGTAAAAAAGCATTGCCCAAGGCCTCTGAGTCAACGAACTAACATATACATAATAGTTATAAAATACGTGCATTCTATATGCGTGGGTACCTTAACACTCGTGTGAACCTTGGGCATACAAATAATGGAAGCTTCTGTGTTGTTTTGTTTTTAACTATTTGATATTTTATCAAAAGGCACAATCATTTAAAAGGCACGTTTGATACCTGTCCAGTTGCCATTTCATGAATTCAACCGGTTTTTGTAATAGTAGCTCCACATAACGTCGACATCTTGATTGGTAAATTAAATATATTTATTTTCAAGCTAAATGCTTCATACATTGAAGAGCTAAATTCAAAACGTTAAATTGTTACTTGCTACATGTAGTTATTAGTTGAAAGAAACAACTAATGCTTCTAAGGTGATGGTTGAGTGAATCTCAAGTAATGTTGCCAGGTCCAGTGTGTCATATTTCAGGATGGAAGGTAAAAATAATCTGGAATTTGATGCCTCATTTTATTATTTATCAAAGTACAAACTGAGGAGTTAAGTGAAAAATCGGTATCATTTGGCGTTCCGGTCTAGGCTGAATCGGGACGTATCACCAGATCCCCGAAAATCGGGACGTCCCGCAAAAATCGGGATACCTGGCAACACTTATCTCAAGTTATTTTGTCCACCTCGTCGCTTTTAACATAACGTACTATCGCTGTAGCCAAAATTTTCCAAAAGCTTAGCAATGTGCGTCACATAACAATTTAAAAAAATGTTTACCAAATTGTTTTAAATGATAATTTTCAAATAATTAATACTGGGTAAAGTAATAACGGTACGAGTTTATACTTATTATGTAAAAAAGGGTAGAAAAGGCTAAAACTGGTTTTAGACATGAACCTATATATCTAAAAAAATGTTTTAAATCCGTGGTTTTAGGTATTTTAAATAAAATATTTGAAAATAAAATGAATAACAATAAAATTATTTCATCAATTATTAGGTACAATATTTCGAAAACGAGGAAGACGCTGTGTCCGCAAATAGTAAATTTCATTAGTGACCATTAAAATTGGTGACATTGAAAAAGAGACTTTCTCGTAAATGAATTTCAATTCAATTATTTAAAAAGCGGCACATTGGTACTTATTAGGTTTACCCGTGAAATATTTACTTTGCATATTATACTATTACCTATGCGTGACGAATGAGCACCCTTTGATTTAGCCTTTGTACATACTCTAAAGAGGGGGGGCGAACCTTTATGTATCAAACTGCCATTTTTTTAGAAATGTTTAGTTAGGTAATAGACGTGTCGTAAAATAATTTTGACTTCGTGAGTATGGGATAAAATAGTAGTACTAAATAATATCGACTCAAAACTATTTACTATGCGTCATTAGCAATGGTAGTCCACTATTTAACTAGGATCACTCGCGTTCGTTCGTAATACATATAATACTTCATAGTGGACATTGTGATCGGTGGCGTGCCCAAAAAATTGTATCGCGTGCCATTGGTTCGCCATACCTGCTCCGCTTGGTTTTATATTCTTATATTCTATAGTTATATTATATAGTTTATATTCTTTTGTCTGAAGCAATTTAACAAAAACAACTAATTAATTAGTCAATAGGTAAGTATTAACTCTGGTTTTATCAACAAATATAACTTTGTGTCCAAACTAGTGCGTATTTTTACTTAATCTAGGATTTATTGTTCAGAAACTTAATATTAACCAACTTCAAAAAAGAGTAGGTTATCAATTCAACTGTATTTTATATAACACATATACGCTTTAGCTTTAGATTACAATGATTCTTATTTATTAAATAGATAATAGCTCGATGTTGAAACTAAATTTTAAACGTGGTAGAGCCATGCTGCAGCTATATTACAAGTATAGCTGTAGCACGAATG